TCAGATAGCATCTTGTGCTTCTAGAGTACTCAAAACTATTCTTAAAATAACAATGTACATTGATGGTGCTCTAAATACCTAATATCAGTAATAACAAAATAATGTATTGGTTTTAGGGTATTGCAGAGAATATCTTAGTGACATCTTTACCCTCAGACGGATGGAGGAGGAATAACTGATTCTGTCTGTGGCTTCATTGGTGTAAAAAAAGATAGATGGATGAACCAGACTCAGCTGGTCCTGAAGGAGGAAAAGGCCATGATGGCCTCAGTGCTGAGAACAGTGTGGGATTCTGGGAGAATACAGTCCAGAGGTTCCTGGGAGAGGAACTTGCCATCTCAGACATACAGTGCCAGCGCTTCAGGCGGTTCTCCTACAAGGAGGGTGAGGGGCCCCGAGAAGTTTGCAGCCTACTCCACCATCTCTGCTGTCAGTGGCTAAAGCCAGAGCGATGCACAAAAAATGAGAGCCTGGACCTGGTGATCTTGGAACAGTTCCTGACTATCTTGCCCCCAGAGATGGAGAACTGGGTCAGGGAATGTGGGGCAGAGACCTGTTCCCAGGCAGTGGCCCTGGCAGAAGGTTTCCTCCTGAGTCGGGAAGAGGCAGAGAAGACACAGAAAGAACAGCAGGTGAAAGTGTTTCTTCTTGGGGCCAAGGTGAGCAGGATCTGGCTCTGGGCTGCCTTTTTGGGGTCTGATGACATCAGGAGGCAAATGCTGAAATGTAGTGTTCCCAGATTTGGCTTTGATAGGGAGAAGTGTGGGGACGATCCACCCTCTGATGAAGTAGAATCTCAGTCCCTGAAGCATCTCATAAGAGTGATTGTTTTAAAACTAGGTGTATGCTCGCTGTGTGGCAGATTTTCAAAAGAAGTGCCAGGTCTACCTGCTGGCAGTGCCATGCAACCAGACTTTCCCTGTAGTGATTCTAATGGCAGAATCGCGCCCTGATATGTTCAGGAGTGGAACAGTCTTCCACCCACTCCAGCAAGTAGCTATTTCTTGCTCTAAGGGGTGAAACACTTACCATTGCTGACTTTTTAAAAATGTTATCTTTATTCCAAAACCAACATAACAAATGACCTACAATAGCCTTGTTTCCACAGAGTGTACAGGTAGGTATATCTATACAGTGGCAGTAGGTTTTATTTGTTTCTCCGTATGTCTGTTTCAGTTCTTTCTTATATACACACGCGCACACACACACACACATACACATTTGTAGACCTGGGTACATGAGTAGACTTCCATTATATGTCAAAGCAGAGTTTTCCAGAACTCCAGATGTTCTTGCTGTGGGCTCCATGGAATTGTTTGTGTTCCATCACATACAATAAATGTATGCCAAGTATTAACACAAGTGTCATTCTTTATCTCACCTTTTTGAACTCTTAGTTTGTATGTCACATTTTCAAGTTGGTCTTATGTGCTGCTGGCTTTTTACTGGCTTAGTTGTGGGTGGAAATTTCATACCACACAAGCTCAAACCCCTTCCCCAAAGACCTTTGCCATGTTCTCATTCTTCTCCAAATTCCATGTCTTTTGAATCCTGACTGCTGTTTCAGGCCAAGAACCTTTTGTCTGAAGTTAACTTTGAATTCCCTGTGGCAGAGAAGGTTCCATTGGATCCCAGGCAGAGTTCCCAATGGAGGGTGATCGAGGAGGAGTGTGATGGAGGAAGGCCCTTGCAAGGTATGGATGCCTCTTTGTTGTTGTTGTGTGTCTTCAAGTCATTTCCAATTTATGGCACCCTAAAGCTTCACAGGGCTTTCTTGCCCAGATTTGTTTAGAGGAGGTTTCCCCTTGCCTTCCCCTGAGGCTGAGAGACTGTGGCTTGCCGAAGGTCACCCAGGGAGTTTCCATAATAATAATAATAATAATAATAATAATAATAATAATAATAGTTTCCATGGCAGAGAGGGGATTCAAGCCTTGGTCCCCAGAGCCTAGCATTAAAACTACTACAGCACACTGGCTCTAATTCCCCATTGGAAGCTGTTGAACTTTTTGGTCTGATGTGGAACATCCATGTTCAGCTCATGATTGTGGAAATGGAGTTGCGCATGCAGGGACACTGGGCTTCCAGATTTATCTGTAGGTGTGTATTTTGCTGCAAGAAGACTGCCATTCCACACCAGGGATGTGTAGTATGTTTAGAGCATATCTACACAAGCAGAGAGTTATCCTCTTATCCTCTCTACCTTTGATATAGG